TAGAGAACTTCCTCCTCTACCTACCTGTAAAAAAATCTCAAAAAAATATATAAAATTCACAAAGTTATACGAATTAGAAGTCCAAAGAGCATAAAATCATTTCCAATTGCCCCAGTTTACTCTAGCTAGTAAATGTAATATTTGCACAAATAAAAGTATATTAAAAATTAGAATTTATTAAACATTTGTGTTGTATTCGTATTAAAATAACCCAATAATAAAAATTTAAAGATTTCCTATTAGTCTGCAGAAAAACTACATGGCCACTCTGAATTATACAACATTCCATAGCACTTGACGAGATCTACAAAATGGTACCAAAATAGCGAAGGGGAAAAGTTGGCAGTTGTGTTTTTTTTCTCAAAATACCAGCAGAGTCGCAGTTCAAAAGGAGGTTCAAAAGAGGTATTTATCCTATATTTGACCATTTCTTCTTCCAAACACTTGATGCTACACACCAATTGATAGCTCTTCAGGAAGGCTGCTAACAACTATCATATTTCATTAGAAGGATTATTCAGAAATTGTATATCGCCATTCTTGACTCCTATAACCCACAGAAACAGTTATAAAAATTTCTTTAGTTTTCGTTGATTCACGAGTTTATGCCAAACTCACATTATCGGTAAAATGAGCAAAAATGCAACCATTTGCAAGAACAAAACTATTTGTATAATTGCCTAACCAATTACTATCGATTCTAATATCAAATAGATTTAGATTTCAACATGACTATTCTTACCGAGTGAGCCGGACTTTTTATATTTCTGCCTCTTCTAAGTATTATCGTTTCAAATCATATAAATCGATTCCTTTTGGTCTTACACCCAAAACTATGTTTTTACTTTTTTAGAATTTCCTTTATTAAAAAAACAATTTTAACAATTAACTTAAACTATCCGCAAATCGGTTAGTCAGAATAATAGAGCTAGTGTACAGAGAGATTTGGCTAAAAAAAACACAGACAACAACGACTCATCAACTGTATTATAGGGACAAATTTCAACAAGTTCGAGGTAGACATTCCCAAGTGTTTTTTTTTCTGCAAAATTATCCAGTCTCAAGTTTCTAATTATGGTTCCAGATAGTACCCATGGTGTGCTGCATTTGCTATAACTAACTCAACATTCTAGAGAGCATGAGCTGTGAAAAAAAAAATAAATCCCCATACTTCTTATTCATCTCAAAATAGAGATGTGCAACCCGACCGATCCGAAGGTCTGGTGCGGGTACGGGCAGAGGCGCCCCGATAATGGGAGAGAGGAGGCGAGGGATCCCTGGGACGGATCTTCCTCCCTGCTTTCTGAAAAAGTTTACTCCGAAAATTAGGTCGTTGACTTACGAGAATATCCCACAGAGTAAAGCATTTGTTTGTTCTCTCTCTGTGTTTGATAGAAACTAAAATTTCTGTCATGTACATAAATAAGATAAGCTAAGTAGAATAGACTTTATCATGGCTTCAGTAATTGTATTTTTATATTATAAGGCTTTGTATTGAAATAGAGTTAGAAAGAAGCAGACTCAGGCTTGCTTTAGATGAACACTGCTTTATCTTTTTTTTATTTTTACCAATTTTTAAAAGTATAAAAATTTACTCCAAAATGGACGTCCCCCCTGCCTCCGAGGTATCGGGGTGCCTCTGGGTACGGGTACGAAGTTGCCGGGTACTGGTGGAAACAATGTTCGGGTCGGATACGAGTACGAAAATGGTACCCGTACACATTTCTATTTCAAAATATAAGACCACTAATTGTTTTTTGAATAACACAAAGATGATAAAAGATAGAGATTTGCGATTTTCAGCAATCTAAAGAGAAGAATTTAGCCTCTATTTACATAAACAGACGAGTTTTGAAAAGAATGGGGAACCCGATTTCTTCTAGAAAATCGAGTTCCCCGTTTTTCCCCTCAATCTTTTGCTAAAGGTTTCTGTGCATTAAAAAGGTTTGTAAAGAAAGTTTTCTTTTAGTTTTGCTTATGTAACACATTATTCTTTCTACGGGCTATCTTTAACTCTTCGTTTAAAATGCTTTTCGTACAATAGAACTCCTTTTTCGATCAATTACCACATTATGAAATATTTCCGAATGTTATATTTACCGTAGTGACTGGATGAGAGACGTTGACCATAGGACACTCACCGTTAAACAAGTCACCCGCTTGTCACGAATTTGCAGAAACATTTCTCATGTCAAGGTGTTGTAGAACACTTCGCTGTATTACGTGTATCAAATTGTAGCTCGAGAAACTCTCTATCGAATGGTATATTTATCGTAGTGGCTGAGTGAGATAGCTTATCATAGAATATTTCAGAGTTTTTGCAGGCAGGAGATCAGAAGTATTTCTAAACATACTTAGCCTTAGAACGACTAACCTACGGTGCATAAGTAATGAGACAGATGTCGAAGTGAGCCGTAACATTTTGATAAAGTTAAGTTAATTAAATTTAAATTTTAAAAGAACCGCCAAAATCGGCTTGTTACAAGACAATCTTGAGTGAGTCGCACTCGCTGGATCTGCGCTAAATTTTTCGAAGTCAAGGTTAGGTGCAAAATACGACTAGTCCAACAGGTCTTATCACTTTACTCTATATTCTCTGAAACTTTCAGCTCTCCACCTCGTTGTATGATAGTAATACGGTAGATTTAAAGCAGAAAAGCACGAAAAAAGGTTGAAATGTTACAAGCCGTTTTTGGTGGTTCTCTTAAAATTTAAATTTAATTAACTGATAGCCCCGTTTACATTAATAACCAAGTCCAAGTGTGTTTCGTAGTAGTTTATTTCGAAAAAATGAATTGTTAACTCCCACGTAACCAATAGTTTATATAGTGCGGATGTGGCGTAACTATTATGCAATAAGTAATGTCATAGTATTCACGTAACTATCACGCAATAACAAATTACGCAATAAAGATGATGCAGTCTGACATGATATCTGAGGATAGTGACTCATGTAACATTAACTTAACTTTATCAAAATGTTTTTTCAAAACATACATTTTGAAGCTGAGACTTCGCTCTTTCTAACGACGATAGAATGAAATCTCTAACTAATTCTCGTGACAAACGGCTCATGTCAGCATTTGTCTCATCACTTATGCATCATAGGTTATTTCCGTGTATGTGATATACAGAAATACAGGGAAGTTTTCGAATGATATATAATAGTCGTGAGAAATTGTGAAACTGAGAGAGAAAGATCAAAAAATACTATAATCAAATCTGATTCGGCCAGTTGTTTTCTGAGAGTGGTTGTAAGGTCTAGTAAATGCCTAGAAATATTCCCTTCTCTGAATCACTGTGAAATTCTCTGTCTCACTGATCTAAGGAATAAAATAAATATTATCACGATGATTTTGTCAAGTCTTGGCTACAAGATAACGAAACTCACAAGTCTCCATCTGATTTCGTTCAAAAGTTATTCAAAAAGCGAGCGAGTATGCTATATTTTGAATAGGATAGTAGTAGGTTAAGTTTTGACTTGTATTAGATTAATTTATTTCATAAAAATAACATTTTATTTCTGAATTTTTATGAACGAAAAGAAGGAATACTTTTATTTTACCCAAACCGATAAAGAATATTTATGTTCATTATCAAGAATATATTGTTGCTCAGACTGATTAAAAAATGTCATGAGTTTCTTGTCATATTGATCTGATTCGAATTTGTATATTTTCAAAAATCGTAATGCCGTCATTTTTTCCATGAATCTAGTCAACGATTTTCGTAGATTGTTTACTTTTTCAAATTTAATTCTTAGATATTCAATATTAACCAAAAGTGAACAAAATTCTTTAACATGACGATGTCTCAAATAGACTGTACTTGAAAAAGACAATTCTTTTACTTGTTGATTGATTATTGCACACAATTGACTATTGCGTAAAATGTCTGTGGTATCATTGAGTATCTTTAATATTTTGACATTTGGCGCTTTTTCTAACAATTTCAGCAAGAAATTAGCACTGAGTACTGTCTCTAAAGAGACACATTTCAAATTTGAAGCTACAATACTATTTTCAATAGTCGATAGCATAAAGGGTATACGCCATTTTTTTAATTCATCATCCATAGTTTGCAATTTTAATGTGGTAACAGATAAAAATCGTCGACCTAACTGTTGTGCATGTTGATATGTACGATTATAGGCGTGAGGAGATTCTAAAAAGAAAAGAAATATTCATTAAATGCGTTTTTTACAGCGCTTTACGAAACTTTCATAAACGATGTTATTCTATTTATTCAGAATATTTTTTCTTGTGAGCAAAAGATGTTATGCTTATTTTGATCTATTTTTATAATAAAGGTGATGATTCTTCTTGTAAACCAAGATGAAACAATGAATAGCTTATGTCATATGAAGTCGAAATAGATTTGGCTGGAGTTTTTTTGCAGACGAGTTGAAGAAAAATCCTTTTTGCAAGTTACTTATTAACATAAGGACATGACTAATTTGAAAATATCTCTTCTCAGGTCTTTTCCGCTACCGAGATAAGAGGCATTATTTCCTAAAAACTGGCTCTTATTTATTGCTTCAAAGGCAAGATTTTTTTAGGCAGCTGTAGCTTTGTACTTAGATTCTCTGGCAGTTGTAATTTTATAAAAACGTCTTCCATGGGCGGCGAGAGCGCGCAAATTTTCCAAATTTTGGACTTTTTCCACTTTTAACGATGCCGGGCTTCCGATTTTTTCACGATTTCTACCAATGAAAAGTAAGCTCGCACCTAGCAACATGTCTCTATACTGTACTCGAGCTACTTATGGTTATTTTATTCATAAAGGTATGATTATAAGTAGCCGGCAGG